TTCGTCCTATTTATTACGGCGACAGTCCCCCCAGTTTTCGTGGTGAGACGTGCACTACACTTTTCAGCGTATGTACAGTACTACACTTGTCAGTGTATTTTTTCGTACAACTACAACCATCCAGGGTCACACAGGAGGGGGTAAACACCAGGGCTTTTTTCCTTTTTTATCTCTTTTCATGCCCCAACTTCCTCCTGCGGTGCGTGCTGAATTTTATTTTTATCGCGAGAAGGGTCCAGCCGTCCCTTTCCCTCGNTAGTGCTTTTCAGGCGAGCTGTTGAGCTCGAGGTAGCGGGTGCTGGGGGACAGGTATGTGTGTGTGTGTGTGTTTTCGTCCTATTTATTACGGCGACAGTCCCCCCATTTTTCGTGGTGAGACGTGCACTACACTTTTCAGCGTATGTACAGTACTACACTTGTCAGTGTATTTTTTCGTACAACTACAACCATCCAGGGTCACACAGGAGGGGGTAAACACCAGGGCTTTTTTCNGGTAGCGGGTGCTGGGGGACAGGTATGTGTGTGTGTGTGTGTTTTCGTCCTATTTATTACGGCGACAGTCCCCCCATTTTTCGTGGTGAGACGTGCACTACACTTTTCAGCGTATGTACAGTACTACACTTGTCAGTGTTTTTTTTCGTACAACTACAACCATCCAGGGTCACACAGGTGGGGGTAAACATCAGGGCTTTTTTCTCCTTTTTATCTCTTTTCATGCCCCAACTTCCTCCTGCGGTGCGTGCTGAATTTTATTTTTATCGCGAGAAGGGTCCAGCCGTCCCTTTCCCTCGTCAACGATGCTGACGCCGAAGTTTAGTACTCACGAGAGCTTGTCAGGTATTTTTCGCTTTCACCCGCACGTTCCGTAAATTTTTCACCGCATGGGGATTCGAACTCACGACCTCTGCGACCAGCGGATTACGAGGATTCCATTATTTAGACCACCGGGGCGACCATGTAAACGAAGCGAGAAACAGACAGGTGTCTGTATGCGAGCTGTCACGCTCGAGATAGCGGTGCTGGGACAGGAAGGTTCATGTACAGGCGAGAAGGAACAGAAAAGCAGACCGGTTCTGTACGCGTTTTTCTTGGAAACTGTCAAGCTCGAGGTACAGCAGTGTGGCAGGTGCTGAGAACAAGCATGTGTAGCGTGAACAAAAAACAAGAACAGACATTGTCATGGGGAGAGGTGTTGCGGGCCGTCGTTCGAGTCGACAGGAAGAGGTGGCGCGTATGCCAAGTTGTACGGCCTCTATTCATAGGTGGTCTTTCTCATAGACGTCTGCAGGTGTGAGGGAGGGGGGGGGTAAGCGAGGTCAATTCTTCGGGACCCCGGTTTTCCAGGAACAAGGCAATTTTGATTCTCACCGCCACGCAGTAAACGTGAGTTTGGCCTGTCTACGACCACAAACTCAGCTTTTTTGCCCACACACGAGGCTCATGTGACTACTTGGCAGGTTGGCGTACAGGAAGCAGCATCACCAACAGCAGTAGCAATAACAGCAGCAAAGACATCAACGCCGACGACGACGACGCATTGAAGCCGAAACCAAACCATTCGACTATATACATAAAAATCAAATCATTGGACTAGGTTTGATTTCGGCTTTAATAGACGTCAACAACAACCAAAACAGCAACATCCACGACGGCGACGAGGGGAAGCCAAGAGAGCCAATGATGTCAACGACGACGGAAAACCAACAGAGCCATGTCAACGACACACGCCAGGGCACACAAAAAGGTTTTACGACGACACGGTCCGAATCACCACTCACTCGAGTGGCAATGCCCTGAAGATGCCTTGCGGTGCCTTTCGTGATGAACCTACCAAAAGGCAAAAAAGGAAAAAGAGCTGACGNTTTTGCTGATACTACATGAACCAAAAAAAGAGGCAACAAAAAAGGCCGATCAGCTGTGCTGAACCTACCTGAACCAAAAAAAATGCAAACATTTTGAACAAATAAACGGGCAGCTGATGAGTCGGCCGGAATCGAAGCCGTCCTCATGGCTCACCTTTTGCCCTTGGCGCTCTGGGACCGGAGGTGCGTTAGCTTTCCGCAGGTGGGCGACACGGAGAAGCAAGCGACCTGTGGCCGTTTGACACCACAACCAAGCACAAACCAGCGACCAGCAAAAAAAACACCAATAACTTCTGTGTTTGGCGAAAACGTCCACTACGCCCAAGCACGAATCAGTGGCCAACAAAACCGCCAAGAACTTCGATGTTTGGGGAAACGTTCGTCGAAATCCAAGCAAGATCAGCGGCCAACAAAACAGGCCAGTGTTGGAGGAAAACGTTCAACTACGCCCAAGCAACAATCAGCAGACAACCAAAAACGCCAAAATATGTTGGCTGGTTGGAAACCACGTTTCATGTTAACTTTTTTTTCCCAAGGAGGACCGGTCCTCAAGGAGGTATATCTATCTTCACAATCACAAACAAACACCACCACCGCAAAATACACCGAAAAAGTTGGAAGTACTCTACAACATACACTGAAAAATGGGGGGACTGACTGTTCGACACACACGCAAAGCAACCTCACCTCGTTGTCTTGGTGATATCCTCCGTGCAGGCGTAGAGGATGTTGTATTGGGGATGGAACCGAAGGAACGCAGGGTTCTCGAGCGTGTCCTGTGAAGGGACAGGGAGCATATGTCGTTGGTGGTGGATGTGTGTGTCATCATGGTCGTAATCGCATATCGGGTTCTCGAGCGTGTTCTGTGAAGGGACAGGGAATAGTTGTTCGTTGGTGGTCGTGTGTCATCAATACAAGTAGCAGTACTGACAAATTTCAATGGATGCTGAGGTTGACAGCAACAGACGTCATGGGCGGTCTTCTGGTAGACATTTGGTGGGTGCCACAGACAATATTTTGCAGGATGTCTTTCAACAAACCTACCTTATCGACAACAATAGAATTCGCAGGCCGTCTCCCGATAGGCAATGATTGGTGGAGGCTGCAATAAGCTGACCAGCCACTCTTTAAATACGATTGTACAGCGCCAACCGGTTGTTGGCCAACGCACCTACTTCCAAGTAGACCTTTGTCAATGGTGAAAAACTGCATAAAGAAACAAACCGACATCTATTTTCTATAATCACACCTCGTCGGAAGCAGCCCTAACCGGTCGGCCAAAGAATAAACATCGAAGTAGATTGTCTGCTGTAAACAACAGCAAATAGCAACAACGATACAATCGACATCTATAGCAATAGATATCTACTTAGCGTCCATCACACCTCGACAGCGAGAAGAGTCATCGTCGCCGATTCGCGGTGGAGTCGGAAGCAGCTGAGGGTGTGACCGGCAGTCGTCCCTCGGGGAACATGGGCAAGGTTGTCGAACCTGTGAATAGGTTGGCGGCGAGGGAATAGCAGACAGAACGAACGCGTCGACAGTGTAAGAACGAGCTTGGTCTAGTCATAGGCCAGCGACTAGGGAGGATAAAAGAAGTTGTCAAAAAAAAAAAATGATTGGAAGTTGATNCTTTATGGCTCAAAAAAAGACAACGATACAAGAAAAAGGCCTTGAGCACCATTACACTTAAAAAAACTGTATAACGGCCAATCGTAGCATACCCCTTCTAAAGGAACAATTGTAAGACCCCCCCTGAGCCTGGGCCAAACCTAGGAGGCGGGTGGGCGGTTTCCCTAAAGCGGATATGCATGGTAGATACCCTGATCGGTTTGCATCCCCAAACTATCTCGCTCCGTCTTCACCGGTCGCACTCGCTAACTTCACCATTGATTTGTGTTTAATAAGTGCCGTGCCATATGTTCGAGGATATATTCGCAGAAGAACTCGTGTTCCGAATAATGTATGCATAGGCGTCTGCACTTTCTACAGGCGAAAGTTCGCCCGCACCGTGGCTGCAGCAAGCAATGCCCGTTTGTGTCTTGGAAGTTCAAGTATACATATTAGCATGCAGAGATGCAGAGGTGTTATAATAAAAGACTCTGTAACGAGGAACATATTTTCTGCGGTGATACTGTTATTGCTAACAACGCTGTGAGGTTGGAACTTGGGACGTCGCAGTACCGTTGCGAGTTAAGTGATCTTCCCGCTCCGTTCCTCCTAAGCCCTTTTAAGCACCACCTTGCTCGCTATCCAGGATTCTCGCCGCCGAACACCGATCCAACGGGGGAATCCAGCACTAATCACGCCCAAAAATAATGCTCGCGCTCTCTGGCCAACTTCAACTCGGATTGATTGTTCTGGGTGTCTTCAACCGAGACGGAGAGGTTCGAAGGGCAGACAGACTACTCCGCTCCGCCATTTACCGGCGCCTTCGTGCCAGCTACACAGCACACCCTGGCCTCGTTGTTCCCTGCGGGGGCGTGTTTATGTATACCTCGTCGTACGCAGCATGAGACCATGGGCAATCACCAACCCGTGACCAAGCGTGCAGAGAATACTTGCAAACCATACCCCTCTCCATCCACCGGTCTTTCGCTGCTTCTGCTGCCGTGGATATGGGGAGACAACAACAACGAAGTCTAGTGGCACGATATCTGGTACCCGCATCTCACCCTCCCTCGACACAATTGAAGCCTGCTCAGCGCGCTTGCAGCACCCATGAGAGAACATCACAAGCTGCTGCTGCCAACAAACATACGGTTCCTTCACGCACTTGTTGTATGATGCGACAACCACTAGCGGATCCTCCTGGGTGACGTGGGCACTCTGTCCGTTGCTGCTTTCGCAGGCCATGGTGTGACTTGTACCGGGACCTAGGGAACGAGCTTGCGAGGACGGAAGAAGAGGCGGAATGGGAGGTGTGTCGGAGTGTGCGGGGTCGGGTTGCGTTCAGTTTCTGTCTCTCCTTCAACGTTCGGCGGAATTAGGGGTTCAAGATGCTGACG